AGCTCCACCTACTGGTTGTCACGTAAAGTGCGGGAGAATTATTTAGTTAAAAAGAAAAAAAATATTCATTCAAGTCGTATGAAAATATACTAAATATAAATAAGTGCACAATTCCTAAAAAACAACAAAACAAAAAAAACAAAAAAAAAACCTGGCTAAAATCTTAAAAAGGAATCTATTTTTCAGCCTAAGTGTTTCCCTTGCTTCTTTGAGCTCAGAATTTTTCCATTTGTTATAAGATTTTCTTTTTACTGAGCTTCATGGTTTCCAGTAGATATTTATCTATTCAGAATTTTGTAGAAAAAAAATAATAAAACTTTACAATCAGCTTTTTGTGATTTTATTCTGCCTTTCCAATGTTTTCTAAAGCAATGTGTGATTTAATGTTAAAGGTGCAATTAAAAATTGTATTTTTTAAAATTTGCCAAAAAGACTTTACACTGATTTGCAATTACCGTTTCGTAAGGAAAACAATGAGGGAAGGGGAATTTTTAGAATCATCTGTAGCTCAACCAAGAAGACTGACTCTCCATTAGTAATAAAAACTTAACCATTTAAATCTTGTATCAAGATAAACCAAAAATGAAACATAGATTTTAGACTTAAGGTAGTAAAAAGACAGACTGATCTTTTAAAGCTCAGTATCTATATGCAATAACGCTGGTTTTGACAAAAGTGTCAGAGCGTTGAGTTTAATGCAGCTTGATGAGTCTGCAGAGCCACAGCTCCTTCATGGAGCACAGCTCTGCAGCTGGATATGTGAACATCACTAGTGGATCGTAGAGCAATGGAAGGAGGCGACCTGGTAGCAGGAAGCCTTTATTTGGAGAACATATGAAACATGATGCATTATGGGAAGAGAGAAAGGTGCAGGGAAGAATACACCTGTTCCAACACACATTTTAAATGAGCATATGGCTTAAATAATGGTTTTGAATTTCCTAGAAGCTTTTCATTTCTGCTGTTTTACAGCCTGAATATCGCTGGGAACCAGCAGCTCACATTACCTTCAACTTTTAATGTGAAATCCACCTTTTGTTCGGTTACCTACAGATTTAATAAAGCTTAACTCATCAGACCTACTTCTTCAATAAAAGAGCAATGTAGAGCCTATAAACATCAGGGAGAAATGGTTAAAGCCAATCATCTTTGTGGTTACGATTAAAGAACAATGGAGAATATGACGGATCTTTCTCTCTTTGCAAAGATAAAAAAAAAAAAAAGAACTTTAGTCAACAGAACATTTCCTCTGTTCTGTTCACTGCATCAGTTAATGAGCCTTGTTTGACAGACTTAAAATGTTAATGTTTCTTTCTATCTAGTACTTAGCAAAGTACTGTTGTATTCTGTACCATTTAGTTTTACCACAATGTATCTGGGTCTTATCTCTAATGTGAAAACGATGATCAATATTTGGTTAAGTTTACTGCCAGCAGGGAGGAGAGCATAAACAAGAAGAACCACTCAGTGGACGGACATTATGGAGGAAACATTCACTGAGGAAAGAAGCTGACTTTTTTATCACTCCAACTGGTTGAGCGTTTTGGTTTTTTATTTTGCTGTTGATCAGAGGGCTAAAATCAGCTAATTGTTTCTTCTTTTGTCAAAAACAAAGATAAAAGTAGAAAANGTTTTGGTTTTTTATTTTGCTGTTGATCAGAGGGCTAAAATCAGCTAATTGTTTCTTCTTTTGTCAAAAACAAAGATAAAAGTAGAAAAAAAAAAGTTTAACTTGCCACCGTTTGCAGTTTTAAATGAAAATCTATTTATTTATTTGCACAGCGCATTGAAAAATAAAAATAAAAAAATAAAGAAAAAGGAGTTAAAATCATTGTCCTTTTAGCTGGAGATGGCCTCAGGCAGGGAGGAAATAAGATACTCCTGATAGGCAGAGAAGTCATCAGGCTCCCAGCGAGATTCCAGGAGCGCATCGTAAAGTTCCTCACTGAGGTCCATGAAGCTGCTGTTGGCCTCCACTACGTCCACCACCACACCAGGATCTACAGCAGAGAACAGGAACCGCTGTTACTGTTTAGACTGTCAGGATAAAAACCTTTTAAATGCAACCAACAGTCAAACTACTTCAAACAAATACTTGCCTTCAACTTCTTCTTCTTCTGGAACTGCTTCGCTTTCCTGAAACCAGATAAGAGCAGAAAGCGTTTCAGAACGACGGCGGTCGTTTGATAGAAGGAGTGTTAGCGCCGGTAGCCCACCTGTAACTGTGCGTACTGCGTGTAATCGTACTGAGGATAGCTGTAGCCATACATGGCTGCGGTCTGATCGTAGCCCCATGAGGAGTAATACCCTGGATAGGCCTGGTTCTGGTACTGGTCATACTGGTCGTAGCCGTATTTGTATCCAGTGCTGGACTGCCACGACTGTTTGCTGTCTGACTGCTGCTGCTGCGGCTTGTTCCTTAAACTGGGGAAATAAAGGAAAATTTGCTTCTGCTTCATGGAAACGTTCATTTAGAGGCTGGAAGTGACTCACTTATTGGCAGCCAGGCTCAACCGGAGAGGTTTGCCCCCGAGTCCCACAGCGCCTTGGCACTCATCCAGGGCCCGCTTCTGGAGCCGCTCGTCTGGGAACTGAACAAAACCGCAGCCCCTAGAGGGACAAACAGCGTGATGAGGAAGGCATCGGGATTAGGAGGAAAACCCACCCATGCACGTTTGCCGAGGCCCAAACCAGTGCCGATTATTCTGGAACAACTGATCTGATATGACCTGCTGATATTATTTAGACTCTAGGAGAAGATTTGGTTTTTCTTCCTACAATTACCTGCTAAAAAATAATTTAAGCAAAAATAAATTATCATTGACACTGACAGCAAGTAAAGGGAGCAGCAAAGATACGCATGCATCTACCAAAAAAACAAAAAACGAATAAAAGCCGTGGAATGTACCAGATCCGCTCGGGGCCCTGCTTCTTCTGGACTCTAAAGCCGGGCATGCACTCTATGATTCCTTCAATCGTTGCACGCAGCTAC